TTCCCTCTGCGCTCTGCAGCCTATGGCCCTATGCTGCGTCTACCACTAGCTTGGCTGGGCCTTTGACAGTCAGAGAGCTGGGGCCTGCAGGAAGTAGGACATGCAATGGATTGAAGAGTGATTGACAGGAAGGGAGAGAGGAAAAGATGTGAGCTTTGTCTTAGGTCTGCAATATAGAGAGATAAAGGCAGATTAAGGAAAGTTGATTGCATAATAAAAATAATGAGATATAAAATAAAGCAGACTTTTATAGGTGTCTTCCCACGTTGAGGTCAGAAGTGCTCAGAGACTTGGATCCCCTCCCATCAGGAAGGCAATGAACATTGCCATTTTATAGATGACCATAAGGGACAGGGAAGAAGGGAAGGCATTCTTCCTCTTGGAGTCAGGCCCCTATCTTATGGGAGATAGCCCAGGCAAGAGAGAGCCCTGCGTGTGGTCTGTGCAAGGAGAGGTGCTCCTTTGCACATACCCAGTTTGCCTTAAGTGCAACTTTTCCCAGCCCATGTGTTTTCTCCAGCTCTGCCCTCTGTTCACTCAGGTCAGTGCCTTACCACCTCACTGTCTCTGTTTCACTTACAGCCCTGGGAATTCACAGATCCAGAGCACGCTGAGAAATGCTTCAAATTTGCGTGAAATTTACTCAAATACCCCTTGATCTGCTGCAGCTGATAATCAGGCAACCCAATCTATCTTACAGAGAAGCAGCAGGCAGCTTGGATGTCAACAAACAAGTCCTAGAGACACACAGTGCGCACCCACGTGTGCACACATGCTCACAGTGTCAGTGAGTCAAGTCAGGCTCTTTGCCTCCTCAATGGTTTTAGCCTTGTGCTCTCCCCACCTGCACCTCTGCCTGTCTATGCAAGAGTGAGCTACTGAATGCACTGTAACAGTACTGCTGATTTTAAGATATTTCCCTCCAGATGAGAGGGTGGTCTTATAAGAAGAAGTACCAAGAACACCTCCCAGGCGTTGGAGGAGTAAGAGGCACCTGAGGTCCTTCACATGGGAGATTGCGGTGCATGTTCCGGTGAGCACTGGTGCAGAGCTCTGGGTCATGAAGGCCAGGGAGCTCAGGGCCTAGAACACAGGCCTCCATTCCTGCTGCCCTGTGCAGCCTGCCACTGTTTGCAGTGACAGGGGACAGCGCATTTGGCTCTCGGCTTGACGGAAATGGGGCTGACCTAGTTCTTGAAGCAGAGGAAACAGCTGCTGGGGTCCCAGGGCCGTGCTGAACAGCTTACTTGAAATAGCTATGCTTTGAGAGTGAGAAAGCACTGAGGAAGGAAGGAAGGAAGCTCCGGTTTCTCCCGCAGATCACTTTCCTGGAACATCTGCACCCTGGCCCTAGAGGTCTTTCCCCCGCTAGTTTAGGGGTGAAAGGAACAGAAGGGAGGAAGCCTCTGTGTGAGTCACAGTGATGGGAGCAAATGGCTCCTCCCAACCCCCACCATCCCAGTCCACTCCTCCCCACTGATGTGGTCCTCTCTCTCTCTCTCTTCCCCATCCCAACCCCCCCATCACCCACTCACACCCCCCCACAGACACATGCATGCACACATGTGACATTATATCATAATTCAGAAGGCGGCCGACTCCCCAGGCCGCTGATTGTTCGGGCATTTGGGCAGTGGCTCCCCGTCTGTTCTGAGCTTTGTGCTATGCACTAATGAAAACCATCAGAGTTGAGTCTTTGCTTTACAAGCATTGGCTTCTCTGTGAAATCTGCTTGAGAAGATGCATCATCTTCTAGCATGCGTTGATGCATGAAGAGAAACGCCATTCCTGCGCTTTTACAAAAAGAATGTGGTTGCTTTTTGTGAGCAGGGCCCCCACCCCCCGCCAGCACCTTGGACTTCAGTGCAGCTCCGTGATTGACACAAGCCCCATGGGCTCCTGTTTTGAGGGTGGTCGCGGCCAAGCTCTTTGTGTCGGGCCCAGCCTCCCTGATCCTCTAGACCACAGGAGCACAGGCAAGGGGGCCCTGAGAGGGTCTAGGAGGAGGGTGAGAACGATCCAAAAGGCTGCCACTGGCTCTCTGGGTCTTTCCCAGTCACCTGACAACGCAGGTTCTGAAGGGCCTGAAAGTGGCCTGGGGAAGGGGCAGGCCCTGCTCCCCTCGGGGACCTTGCTGATCCCTGTAGTCCATTTTGAAGTGGGGAAGGAGAGCTGGGTGACAGCCCCCGGGCCCACTCAGGACCCTGTTCCTATGTAGGCTTTACTGTGTCTCCTCAGTTAGGAAACGTGTTATAAAAAGAGCAAATTGCAGAGCTCCTGCTCACACGAACACTGTTCCTACTGGCTCCAAGACTCAGTGAGTGACGTCCCAAGGCAGAGCCCAGCAGGTCCTGACTGAGCTGGGAGTAGGGGTCCTTATGGAGCTGGGGCCAGGCTTTCTAGGGCACAGAAATCCTGCCTTGTCTCAGGTCCCTATGAACCTGGGTGCAGAGCGCTGAGCTGAGCTCTGAAGAGCCACCAGAAACCACCCCTGCTCTCAAGGATGCTAAAGATCCCGGGCCTCCTGCCACAGCTGCCCGTGTGCCCTCCCCATGTCTCTTCACTGTCACCCAGTGAGGCCCAAGGATGGGGAGACCTCCAGGAGGGGGTCAACTGTGTAAGGCTATCCCTAATATGGCCAGCAGGGCTTCCTTGTTGAAAGGGGGATAAAGGGAGTCAGGGCACCCCAACTGCTCACAAAATTGTCCTACACCAAAACCCACTGGCTGGAGACTCTCTCCCCACACCACTCTCTATGGGACAGTTGTGGAGTCAGCCGCACAGGGCCCACACCTTGGTGTCCTTGGCTTTTAACAGACTTACTCTGAATGGAAACACCTTTAATAAAAGATTGGGGACAGAACGCAGAAGGGGTCTTAGGGGAGGCTCATGCCAGAGGAAACAGCGAGACTCTGGCTTACTAACGGTCTGATCCCCTGGAGTCAGGGCGAGGAGCAGCAGGCAAGAGGGCAGTTTCTGCCAAGGGCCAGGCGCTGGCTGGGATGAGAACCAGAGACGCCTTTCTCCCAGTGTTCTCTCCTCAGCCGGCAACACCAGGGCTCTGGGGGCAGGGTGGATACATCTCAACCCATGCCCATTCAGCATCTTCTTGTGTGGAAGATGTAACCCATGCTTCACAGGTCGAAAATGAGAAGGTGAAAGAGACCCAGCTGAGCCAGGCTTCAGAGAAGGGGAAAAGTAGACAGACTTACAGCCTCTCTGAATGTTCACACTGTATTGGTCAGGGTTCTCCAGAAAAACAGAACAAACAGGATGTGTATGTATACGTATACCTATACACACACACACACACACACACGTCTATATGTGTACATATATGCATATATGCATGTACATATATATATACACATGTGTACAGAGAGAGTGAGAAAGAGACAGAAAAGTCTAAGGAATTGTCCCACATGATTGTGGGAGCTGACAAGTATGAAATCCACAGTGCAGGCTGGCTGACTGGGAAATTCACCAGGAGTTGACATTGCAGTCCTGAACCCCATCCCAGGGCAGTCTGGAAGCAGAAGTTCTTCCTTCTCTGAGGCCTTCTGGTTGGGGGAGGTTCACATTATGGAGGGTGATCTGCTTTACTCAAAGTCTACTGATTTAAAGTTTATTCAGATCTAATGAATACCTTCACAGCAACATGGAGACTGTTGTTTGATCTGATATCTGGATACCATGATCTGGTCAAGGTGACCCATGAAATTCACCATCACACGTATCTTAGCTACCCAACTGTTCATACCATTCAACAGAGTTATTGGTTCTCAGAGTTCCCCTGGGACCCTCACTCTTCTGAGGAAGAAGCAAAGCATTCATGATAACAACAAAGTGGAAGCCTCAAGTTTAGCTTGATGCTCACGCCTGTAATCCCAGCATTTTGGGAGGCTGAGGCGGTGGATCATCTGAGGTCAGGAGTTCAAGACCAGCCTGGCCAACATGGTGAAACCCCGTCTCTACTAAAAATACAAAAATTAGGTGGGCGTGGTGGTGCATGCCTGTAATCCCAGCTACTCTGGAGGCTGAGGCAGAAGAATCACTTGAACCCAGAAGGCAGAGGTTGCAGTGAGCTGAGATCATGCCAGTGCACTCAAGCCTGGGCAACAGAGCAAGACTCCATCTCAAAAAAAAAAAAATAAAGAAAGAAAAGAAAAAGCTTAACTTGATGAATAGACCAGCCATAGTTTAAGCTGCAAGAACTACAGGCAAAGCCACATGAGGTCCCTGCAGGAGGGGACAGCCCCCAGCACACACCAGGAGAAGCAAAACGTCTTATTCCATTCCATCTTCCTTAACATCACTAGCAGATGAAGGAGTGCCCGTCACCCACCTAGGGTAACATCTGACTACTGGTTTTCTTTTTCATGAACGTCGGGGAAGGATTAAAAATCCAGAAATGTACTATCAACATAGCTTTACCTTTTCTTTCATCAGTTATATCAACGGCTCCAACGCTAGTTAAACAATGTAAGAATGTTTGTGGCTTTGGTTCTTCAGAATGTCAAAAATCTCACAACAATAATGGGTGGTTTGCACAGTCTATTCAACTTAACAAACCCTTACTGGGCAGCTAATATGTCAGACATTGTGCTAAGTAGCAGGATAGATGCAGAAATGAATCAAAATCTCTGTAACCCAGGCATCTGCTTTCTCTGAAACAACTCACAGATGAAGATGAGAACACACTAGTTCTAGAGTCTGTCGGGTTAGATCATTCTCCCAAGCACTCCTCAGACCCTTCAACAGTTTCCCAGCAAAAGGCAAAGTCTTCATAGTGACTGCAAGGGTCTATTTAACCCCTCAAGCCTCTTTTACACCCTTGATCTGCTCTCCTCCCTCGTCTTCCTGGCCGACTCTGCTCCAGCCACAGTGGCCTCCCATGTGCATCAGTGGCCAGCTCACTCCCACAGCTGTGGCCTTGGTACTTGCTAAACCTTTGTTGGGATTGCTCTTTCTACAAGAGCACATGTGTAGGAAGTCACAAATCCACTGCTTTTCCCCATTTTTTATTTTGAAACATTTCTTCCACATCTTCTTAAAAGGACGGCTAAGAAGTCAAAATAGTTGCCTATTATTAGGCGCAAATGGTGCTTTCAAAGAGGCTGATGTAGCTTGCCTTATTTGGTAGCTGCACAGCACTCCTGTGACACAGTTTTATTAATTTATTCTGCATGCCCCTTTTTTCATTACCGATTGCTATGTAACAAACTACCACAAATTTAGCAGCTTTGAACAACACACATGTGTCGTCTCCCAGTTTTGGGGAATCAAAAGTCTGGGTATGGACTGAATACTTTGCTGCAAGGTCTCGCAGGCTACAATCAAGGTGATGACCAGGCTGTGTTCTCATCTGGAGGCTCAATGAGAGAAGCAGCTGCTTCCAAGCTCACTTGGTTGTTGGAAGAATGTCTTTCACTGTAGCTGTAGGACTGAGAGCTCTGATGTCTTGCTGGCTGCCAGCTGGAGGCTGCCCTCAGTTCCCTGCCACGTGGCCCTCTCTGTAGGCAGGCCACAATGTGGCAGCTTCCCTCCTCAAACCTAGTGCAAGAGTCAGAGTGATTTGCTAGGATGACAGTCTTAAATGTGTAATGTAATCCAGTCACGCAGTCATCACCTTTGCCATATTCCATCAGTCAGAAGCAAGTCACGGGGACACCCCCAACACACATTCAAGAGGTGGGGATTATACCCAGGTGAAAATATGAGGAGGAGGGGATCATGGAGACCAACGTAGAGGCTGCCCCTTTTGCTTCTAACTCACCCCAGCATAAACTGTCACTCATCCCAAACTAATGAAGGGAGGACTCCAAAAAGTGAACATTTATCCTATTTGATTTATTTTGGCCGTAGCATGAGCCTTCACAGATTTCCTGAAAACTCTTAGAAAGTGCTGATCTGCAAAGACACTCAGTGCTGGGAGGAACGTGTCCATGAAGAAGACAGGGGTTCTCTGTGTTTTCCCACAGGAAATGTGACCCAGATGGCTTGGAACTAGAGCTTAACCAAGAAGCAGTTTCTGAGACCAAATAATACCTCACTGCTGCTCCCGGAGGCTTTTAAATCCATATTTGAAGTCATTATCTCCACATGCCTCAGGGAGAGGCTTCCTGGGCAGCGGGGACCCTGGGAGCCAACAATTCAGAGTAAAGGTCAGACCAGTTTCGAAACCCCGACCAGACCCAGCTATTTTTTCTGCCATAGCTGAAGAGCAGAAAGTCCAGAGCAACAAGAAGCAGGGATGGTGACAGGCAGTGCAAATAACCCTTAAGCATAGATAGAAAAATCCGCACTTCAATGGCAGGCTGTTGTTTACCAGTTTATTGCAGTTGGCCTGAAAGCTCTGAAATGCCCCTCTCATGGCAAATGTCTTAGCACCATGCAAATGAAAAAAACGACTCAAGAAAAACCACTTCAGCTCACATTCTTTAAATACCCCAGCCTTCCAGCAGCCACGGTTTTACAGCCTGGCTACAAGGTGATCCTTCTGAAAACTTAATCGTTAGGGCAAGAGCTTTTCTTCTCCCTTTATAATAAATCGTGAATTTTTAAAAGACGACATGCTGAGCTTTAATTTTAAATGGAGGCACCCTGGAGGTGGTAAAACACAGCCGGCTTTGACTTTCTGTTTGGCTTTGCAGCCTTGTGGGCTGCCAGAGTGGGTGTTACTGCCTTCTACCTGGCAAAATCACAGCACAGTCCTTCATGGAGAGGAGGGGAAACAGAAGGAGTGGAGGGGACAGAGGATGTGTTCCCAGTGCCACACACCTGTGGGCACCTCATCCCTCAGCCCACCTCCACCAGGTGGTGGAAGAAGAATTTCAGTGTTTTTATCAAGGAAGAGGCCCCAGGAAAAAATGGAGAGCACGAACACTATGCAGCTCCAGGACCAGAATTTATGTTCTGTCTCCAAATTTTACTCTTTGAATGGCTTTGGGCAAGATGCTCACCTTCACTGTCCTCTTCTGTGAAATGGAAATAATAATACCTAGTCCATCGACCAGACAGGGTCGATAAGGACCATCGGTATTAACTGCTGTGTAACCTCAATGCATTTCTCACGTAGAGGATAATGTTACCACTATGGGATTAGAGTTTCCCCCTCATTTCCTCCATTTTCCTTGTTTCTTCCATTTTCTATAAGGAATCTTTTAAAACAATCATAAGTCTTCCCAAGATTTGGGCAGTCAGACCTCGCATCACTGGGATTCTGGTCAGAGGACAGCCCTTGGGTGTCTTCTAGAGTCTCCACTCCCTCCTTCCCACGAGTCCTTTCTGTGATAAAGGTATGGCTGCGATGACACAGACGGGGGCTCTGAACGGAGGATGAGGGTTCCAGGACAGAAGAAAGGGGGGCCCCACATGGAATGCTGCCCTTGGTCACCGCAGCCCCCCTCTCCGTTTCCCTCACAACCCACCATCAGGAGCCTCAGAGCAGGCCAGAAAGACCATAACCTGGATGAGCACCATTTTAAACTGGATTAGTTTGCTAGGGTCATTTTTAAAAAGTGCCCTAGACTGGGGGGCTTAAATGGCAGAAATTCATTTCCTCGCAGCTCTGGAGGCTGGGTGGGAGTCCAAGAGTCAGGTGTCAGCAGGCTGACGTCTCCTGCTGCCACTCTCCTTGGCTTGCAGACGGCATCTCCCCACTGCGTCCCCACGCGGCCACCCTGCTCCACCTCAGCACCCCCGGTGTCTCTGGGCGTCCTCATGTCCTCTTCTCACAAGGTAAGGACACCAGTCAGACCGGATTAGGGCCAATTCAACTGTATACTCCTGGAGACTTTTGAGGTGCCTGTGAGGATGCAGGGGTTCTGTCCATCCTGGGGTCTTGAAAACATATTTGTGTAGGACTCATTTTAAATTAAAGACCATTCTCTGGGGGAGCCATTTCTCTAGTTAGTGAAAGAGAATCACACTCCCAGAAAGAGAACAGGCACTCCCAGAGGACACGGTCCCCTTGTCAGGCAGCCACAGCCCAGCACTCCCCGGAGTCTGAGGCTGGGGTGGGTTGTGCAGAAAGGGAAGAAGAACGTGAAAGGGTAGGTCGTGCTCCGACCACTGCTGTCCACCCTAATGCACCTGTGTAAAGCCCTGCTCCAAGCACAGCCACGTTCTGAGATACTGGGGTTAGGGCTTCAACATCCGCATTTTAGAGGGGTACACTCCAGCCCATCACAAAGACATAAGGGCGGTAGCCCCACAATGAACACAGAGTTGGGTGGGGAGTAATGACGCGTAAACATTTCCCTTTTGTCATCTTTTTTAAAAGTTAGGTCACATATGTAAAAGTTCAATAAAGGGCCATGGAATGAGAATTAGAACTCTGGAAAATCTCCCGGCTTGTCTTTGTTGACAAACTGGTTTCTCTTTCTCTTCTTTCTACTATTATGACCCCAGGGAAGTGAGCCTGACATGGTTTAGCAACCAAATAAAAACCATACATCACTGCTGCTCTTTGAAGATAATGACATCTGGGATCGAGATCTTTATCTTTGCAGGAACCAAAGGCCAGAGACTTCTCAGCAAGTACAAGTGGGTGCCTAGTAGCTGGGGCAGAGGACAGAGGCTAAGGAGAGAAACAGAAGGGAGGAAAGGTCCCTCGCTGGCTGTCACAGGAAGCTGTCACATCCAGGGAAAGGCGGAGGCTGCCTCCAAGGCCACGTGACCTGCAGGCAGCTCCGGACCCCCTGGGGAGGACTCAGGTATCCACTGAAGGGACAGTCGAACAGAGGGAAATGGAAGTAGACTCATGGAGACTCCTGGGAAGGGGAAGAGGGCATAGGAGGCCGAGTGGCCAGGGAGACAGCCCCTCAAGGTCAGAGAGGAAAGCCAGAGGGTCCCCGAAGGTGGGGTGGTGCAGTGGGATATGCCTAGGAGGTGGGAGCAGGTGTTGGGAGCACGTGAAAGTCATACGCAACCTCACGCGGCACCAGTCAAGTCTATCTCAGTTGCTCATCTGGTCCAGAGAGGCTGAAAGAATGGGATGCTTCAAGACTGGATTCCTTGCACTTGCTCTATGACAGGGAAGGTTAGGACCAGAAAGTGGTCTCTGCAAACACAGCCATTTATATGTTGGGACTATCGTGTTTGCTTTGACTTTCCTGCTTCCTAAATAATAAAGGCTACTGCTTAAGAGTCCAGTCTTATCTCAACTAAGGGGGAAAGGAATTTGCTTCATTTCCATTAACGGTGGGACCTGGAGAGGGGATCAATCCCTCTTTGGTGGCACCCGAAGGCAGGTTCTGGGCATCCAATCAGCTCCTGAATCCAGTGGGTCAATCAGCTCCTGAACCCAGCAGGTCAATAGAACTAGATGCCAGACACCAGAGCCTGAAGGCTTCCGGGCAATCAGCCCCCACCTGATGCCTGAAACGCTTTTTTTGGCCACTGCTTTCCAGGACCAGAGAGAGAAGCATCTCTGCTGATAAGAAAGAACAGACACTCCCAGAGGACACAGTCCACCCGTCAGGCAGCCACAGCCCAGCATACCCCACAGTCTGAGGTGGGGGTGAGTTGTGTAGAAAGGGAAGAAGAAACTAAAAGAACAGGCTAAGGTGCAAAGAAGATGGGATAAAATAGCTGGACCCTGAGGTTCACACCTGTAATCCCAGCACTTTGGGAGGCTGAAGCAGAAGGATTGGTTGAGTCCAGAGTTCGAGACCAGCCTGGGCAACATAGCGAAACCATGTTCAAAAATATAAAATTAGCTGGGTGAGGTGCACCTGTAGTCCCAGCTACTTAGGAGGCCAAGGTGGGAGGATCGTTTGAGCACAGGAGGTCAAGGCTGCAGTGAGCTGGGATTGCACCACTGTTCTCCAGCCTGGGAAACAGGATGAGACACTGTCTCAAACAATCAATAAAAATAGAAGACTTCCCACTAGGGAAGGGCCCAATGGCCAGCAAGAAACTCTGTGGTTCTCTTTCACTAACTAGGGAAAAGGCTCTCCCAGAGAATGATCTTTAACTTAAAATGAGTCCTACACAAATATGTTTTCAGGACCCCAGGATGGACAGAACCCATGCACCCTCACAGATACATCACAAGTCTCCCCAGGAGCCTACACTTGGGTGGTCACATAAAACACAGAATGCCCAGTTAAATAAAATTTCACATAAACAAGGAGTCATATTTTAGTATCAGTGTGCCCCATGGAATATGTGGGACATGCTAATGCTATAAAAATTATGTGTTGTTTATCTGAAGTTCAGATTTCGCTGGACATCCTGTATGCTTTCTTGCTAAATCTGGTAGCCACCAGCAGTTGTCGCTTTTCAAGCTATAAGAGATAGATTTGGCTTAAGAGGCTGCCAGACAAGATGCCATCACAGGTGGCTGGCTGGGTTGCTGCAAGGGTTTCAGCCCTTCCTAGACACGTCCATACTTTTGACTGCCATTTATAAACACCTGATGCAACCAGTTTAACCAGAAGAACAGTTACTGTACCTGTAACCAGGAAGCCAGAGACAGGGCGAGCTCCAGATGCAGTGTGATCAGTAGTGAGCGTCACAGTGGACTTGCCATCTGTCCCTTTGTCACACTTAGTGTTGACTCCACCCCTGGGCTGAGGGCAAGTGCTGGCAGCAGGCTCAGTGTCCCCTCCAGACACAGCTGTGTCACTGGCATGGCTTCTGAGATGCAGTGGAAGGACAGGACGCAGGCACAGGAGCTATTCAGGATCCCACGGCATCCAGATGTCTTTGGACTTATGGCCAGTGAAGAACTTGAAGAGAAGGGCAGAGCTGAGTCAGAGTTGGCACGCCCGCTGGAGGAAGTCGCCCGACGTTTTATTATGTGTATTCACATCTGAAGGAAACAATGGGAGCGAGTGGAGTAGCCACGAAAGCACGCCCCATGGAAACTGGCCGGGGCATAGCAGTGGAAGGCGGTGGGCATGGCACTGACATGCATTGCCCTTATGTTATTTTATTTTCTAAAAATTTTTATAATTTTTTAAAAATGTATGGGTACATAGTAGGTGTATATATTTATGGGGTACATGAGATGTTTTGATATAGGCATGCAATGTGACATAAGCACATTGTGGAGAACGGGGTCTCCACCCCCAAGTATTATCGTTTGAGTTACAAATAATATAATTATACTCTTTAGGCTTTTTAAAAATGTACAATTATTATTGACTATCATCACCCTATTGTGCTATCAAATAGTAGGTCTTATTCATTCGGTACATTGTTTTCTAAAATGTAGGATGACTCTTAAATACTGGGCTGAGAGCATGGTTTTGCTCATCCCACCTTTGGGAAATTACCTGTTGCTGACAAATGCACCAGGCACAAACCTCTCAGGAGCAGTTTACTCTCTGGCTTACAAAAGAAAACACTCTGGTTGATTTATGAAATACTTCTTTACTGGTTTATCTCAGCCAATGAGACATCACATGAGCTTAACCCTCATTCTCTCTTTTATCTGAGTCTCTTTTATAAGTCACTTCCATAAAGCAGAGGACAATTTATCCAGGAACAAAACTACGTGAACAGGGTAGATGGTTTTCAAATGTCATTTAACGACAGTTCTTTAAGAAATATCGCCAAAGGGGCTATATTTTAACACAGTGAGAGAAAATCAAGAAAATACACACTGGCAGTTGTATCCACAGCCTTTTCTAAACTTCCCTAAAAATAAAACAACAAAAAAATATGGAAGGCCATGTCAGAGTTTTAAAATATCAAATGCCAAATCCAATTTTTCAGATTGAATGTTTAATTTTCTATGAGATATGAGGACAGGGTTAACAAAACTGATAGCAATCCAAAAAAAAAAAACCTCCTGATATTTTATCTTCTCTTCTACTATGTAAATATCCCTCCAGGGAGCTCACATCTAGACTAGAACCTATGCTATAAAGCATGGAATCCTTTGTTTCCCAACAGGTCAGAAGCTTGTATTTATCAAGACTCTTCCCAAAATATTTGAAAATGCACATAATCTCAAAGAACTTTTGAGGGGCCTTCCAATCTAAAATTGGTCATAGTGGCAAGGGGAGTTTGGGGAAATCAAAGGGCTGGCTTAACTACGTAGACCTACATCTGGTCTTATTTCTGGCCCATATGATCATCATGGCCTTTGACAAATGAAACTTCCTGAGCCTCAAGTTCCTTGTATCAGAAAGGATGGCATTCAGTCATCCACAACAGAAAACCCAGTCACAGAGGCTTATCCAAGGAAAGTTTAATTTTCTCAAAACTACAGCATCCTGGGCTGATGCAGCAGCCCCAGGATGGCCTCAGCATCTCACTCCCCCTTCCTTTGCTCAGCCCCATCCTCCGACTGGGACTTTCATCCTTAGGTTTGTCATCTTTTGGTGGTAAGATGGTTGCTCTACCTCAAGCTCACAAAAAGAAATGGGGGAAGAAAGAAAGAAGAAAAATCTGCTTCCCCAGAAACTCAAGGGCTGCACTTGCACATCTTATGGACCCAAACAGTATCCGTGACTGCCCCAAGATGCAAGGGGCCTGGGGAAATTAGCTGATTCATCAGGTACATTGCAACCCCACATAAAAGGAACGTTCTCTCAATAAAGAAGAAGAACGTGCCTTTTATGAAATTTAGGTTTGGTCAGCAAACAACATTGCCTGCAATATGCCTCATATGAAATAAAGCCTTTCTTGCCCCCATTCTGCTACTCGGTCATTCTTGCCCTTAACAAGTAGATACTGAGTGCCCACAAAGATATTGTGTCTTGCTTTCATGAGGTCTTCATGTCTAAGCATCTAGGTTCTCAACTTTGGGAAACAGGGAGATGGACTTCTTGTCATCTCTAGGCAGTCCTCTCTCTAGGCTGTCCTCTAGGTGCTGGGGATGCAATCCTGAATCTATGAACATGATTGGCAGAACAGTAAATATTGATTGCCTCGGCCACTCACCAAATAAAGTGCTCCCAGGCAGACTGAGATCTAATACAAAACAGCAGCTTGACTTCCTCACTCCATGGCAACAATGCCAAGCAAGAGAAAGTGGTGGGTAAGACCTGACCCAAGAATCTCACTGCAACCTGAATTGTAAATTCTACCTGCTAGTTTCCTCAGCCTTCTCTGGTTTTGGGCTTTAGAACGCCTTAACTCTGCCCTGGATCATGAGCAAGAATAATCTGTCTTAGAGGAGAGAAGGCGAGGTTATGATTCCAGAGCATTTGGTGATGCAGGAAGTAGACCTGCCTCCTACCTGTCCACAGAGCAGTTGAAATAGGCCATCAGAAGACCATTCCAAGCAGTCCGTTTCTATATTATCACTTAAATAAAATTGCAGCTGTGAACCCTGGAAACTTCGTATTCTGCAGCTGCTAGGTAAACTGGTACAGGCCTTTTGAAGAACAGTGGGGAAAGGCACACCGAAAGCATCCACGCCTCCACACCTGCTGATAAAGGCTCTGATTTTCCTTCTGGGAACCAAGCCGAGGAGGATGATTCAAGCTGCAGAAAACCTTTATGCATTAAGATGTTCTCTGTGGCATTTGGTATAATAATATACCAAGGAAACAATCTTAAGATTCATCAGTAGGAGAATATCTAAGTAAATTACGGTACCTACACTCAATAAACTTATACGACTACTAACCACGGCAGTTACCAAGACTATCTCATTAAGAAAAATGCGTATGTGAATGGTTAATTGAAAACTGCAAGACATAAACTTATGTAAACTATCATTATAATTTTAAAGTATACACACAGGAAGAAAATTTTTAAATGGTAATAATGGATAGGTGATTATGCAATTATGTGTGGTCAGATTTTAAGTGACTTGTTTCTCCTAGTCTTTAGATGTTAGTGAATGTTTACATAACTTTGATGGAAAAATAAATTCATAATTTGCAAAAGGGAGGGGAAACAGGGAGGCTACACGTACCACAGATGAAGAGCCTTTGACACAGAGGAAAGACAGAAGGTAGATAGATGCTTTGAAATCCCAGATGAAACAGTTTTACCTTCCCTTGTGTGGCACGTAAATTCTGGGGAAAACACGTAGCCACACAGAAAGTAAATCTTATCACTGGTATGGCTTAGAAGGAAAATGATAAGAAGAGGTGGTAGGAACAGTAAAGTTAATGCCTATTCTGAATCTACCAAACTTGGTAGGACTCACTCTTTTTTTTAATCTACTCCTAGTACTTCAACAGAATTTAAGAAAGCTCTGTCTCTATACTTGGATTTCTACGTTCTCAAAAAATCATTTTTCCAAGTCAATGAGAATATTATGTTAACAGTCCAGATTTCAGTCCAAAAATGCCACCAATTTTCCCTGAATCTCTTGGGCAAGACAAGCAAAAGATTTATTTTAACCCGACAATAGTTTTATTTTATAACACAGAACAGGTATTACCTGCTTTGCCATTTCTCTTTCCATCAAAATTGCCACAGAGAGGCTAGCCAATACATTTGCGAGCGAAGTTGTTATTTCCAGTTTTACCAACTTGTCCCAACCTGTACAAGTAATCACACAGGAGAAAGGAAACTAGTATCATCAGAAGATGAAACTGCGTATTTCAGATCATCCCTCAATTCTCCGAATTGGGCTGCAGAGTGATGGTTCCTGGAGGTTCCGCAGCCCACTGCTCTAAGGAACCCTGACATCTCGTTATTTCATGAGTGTTTCCAGAGCCCTTGCCTGGTTTAGAGATCTGTGATTAGCCTCCCATTATTGAGGACACATGAAAAATTAAGCCCTGAACTTCAAGGAGCTTACAGTTCAGCCAGAAACGCAGCTGGCCACAATACATAACCTGCACACAAGTAACACGAAGAAAAGGTCTGGGGTGAGGCGCTGGCTGTGGGCTGAGGACACTTAATCTCAAGGTTTCAAGTTCAAACACAGGAAATAGAGTATGGGCAGGGCAGATTCGCAACCCCATTCTGGAGCTTGTGTCTTGCATTCATGAGGTCTTCATGTCTAAGCATCTAGGTTCTCAACTTTGGGAAACAGGGAGATGGACTTTTTGTTGTTGAAATAGGGCTCATTCTGTCACCTAGGCTGGAGTGCAGTGGTATGATCTTGGCTTATTGCAGCTTCAACCTCCTGGGCTTAAGCAATCCTCCCACCTCAGCCTCCTGAGCAGCTGTGACTACAGGCACATGTCACCATACCTAGCTAATTCTTACATTTTTTGTAAAGATGGGGTCTCACTATGTTGCCCAGGCTAGTCTTGAACTCCTGGGCTCAAGCAATCCTCTCACCTTGTCCTCCCAAAGTGTTGGGATTACAGGTGTGAGCCACTGCACCAGGCCAAGGTAGACATTTTGAGAATCAGATGAGTGTTATGGAAACTTGTCCCAGAAAAGGTGCACATGATAGACACACAAATATTTGCGAATAATTTTAGAAAATTCATGGGCTACATCCCTCCAAAGTCATTCATAAACTCATGAACTTTCAAGAGTACGCAGTAAGAGTATAATAATTAATATTGAGCATTTTCTATATTTCATGGTCTGACTTAACCTCCAACCATGTGTTGTATTCTTTGATCCTCACAACAAAACTACGGCATACAAAGCATTGCTTCCATTGCACAAATGGGGAAACAGGCTCAGAGAAGTGACTTCACCCAAAACTCATAGAAAGTAGGTGGATTCTTGCCAAGTCAAGCAGCCAAGTCTGTGTGGTTTCAAATAACAACTGAATGAAGTGGGTACCATTCATCACTCTACCCCCACTATTTTAAAGATGAGGAAACAAAGGCCTTGGGTGGTTAAATAACTTGTCTGAGGCTATATGGACCACAGATGAAGAGACTTTGACACAGAGGAAAGACAGAAGGTAGATAGATGCTTTGAGATCTCAAAGGA